GGCTCCATGGATGATCTCCTGCAGGCTCCATGGATGATCTCCTTCAGGCTCACAGATGATCTCCTTCAGGCTCCATGGATGATCTCCTTCAGGCTCCATAGATTATCTCCTGCAGGCTCCCAGGGCTTCATAAATGAAGTCTTCACATGTATCAGACTGACGCTCCTCACGGGCGGAGAGTGCTTTGCAACAAAGGAAGATTTCAGCGAACACCCGCGGCCACTCTTGGGGGGGAGGGTAGAGCTGTGCACTGAGTCAGTGAAGGGACGAGGCCATTTCACCCCAAGCCCTGCTGTCCCCAACCCCAACAGCATCATGAACTGCCATGGGCTTGTCAGGGAACCAGAGAGAAGCCACAGGTGCTCTCCTGTCACATCCACTCTCCTTCCTCCCCCTTTACGTCTGCTTTTTGTTCTTAAACGTTCTTGTGATTGCTTCTCAGTGCTCACTGAGGGCAGAGCAGCAGCTGAAGGATTTTGTCAACAGCCCTGGCCCTTCATCAGTTTTCAGATGCAGCCGCATCCTCCACTCCCCGCCAGCGACCTTCTCAGGAACCCGGGCCGCTGCGCCTACTCCGCGTGGGTGACCGCAGGGGACTTGGAGACGGCGAGTCCCAGGGAGGACACGAGGGCGAAGTTCTCCAGCATCACGTCGCGGTACAGGCGCCTTTGAGCCTCGTCCAGGAGCCCCCACTCCTCCCGGGAGAAGTACACGAACACGTCCTCAAAGGTCACACAGCCATGGAGCACATACACAGCAGTCATGAAGTGAAACAGTAAAAAAACATTTAAAAGAAAGATAACAGCCCCGGCCGGTTTGGCTCAGTGGATAGAGCGTCGGCCTGCGAACTGAAAGGTCCCGGGTTCGATTCCGGTCAAGGGCACATGCCCGGGTTGTGGGCTTGATCTCCAGTAAGGGGCGTGCGAGATGTGGCCGATCCATGATTCTCTCTCATCATTGATGTTTCTATCTCCCTCTTCCTTCCTCTCTGCGCAGAATTAATCGGCGCTGCTGCCCCAGCCGCGGGGCCGCGCGGGCGGTGAGGGGCCCTGGGAGGCAGGTGGCCTCTCCCGGG